GGTATCCAAAGAAGCCCAGGGCTTAGTCTGCAGGGGGGTGGGGGGAGATAATGTCAGGATCAGTTTAGATTTGGAAAATGAAGAGGCTTATCATCCTGAATTGATTAAACTGAAAGAGTTGCAAGCAGAAAAAGCAGTGTTGCATAGCAACCAAAAGAGGTAGTTATCACTGGCCTCAGAAGAGGCGGAGCCAACAACTCTTCCCCTCCCCCAATGGAATTGCCTGCTGGGAGGAAAGGAGGGCTGAACAAAGTACTAAGTCCTGTCCAATCAAAGAAACAAATGCAGGTCATGCCACCATTATATAAGGGGAGCCATGTACCTCACAGATCTGTTGGTGACAGCTGTCCATTTATCTCATATTCCTCAACTCTTCAGCTGCCTTCTTGTTCAAACTGTTGGCCATTAGAATTCTGTTTGAAAACCTTTTAAATAAAAATACAAAACTTTCCTGTCTAACTAATTTCTGTGGGTCAGAACAGGACAGCTTCTTCTAAAGACCATCTGAAAGCTATACAGTTGGTCCAAAATGAATGAGTATGGATAGTTATGGACACACCTTGGCTTATCCATGTAACAGCACTACTTTGTGAGCTTCAATGCCTCTCTAATAGCAATAGCACTTAGACTTATATACAGCTTTATAGTGCTTTATAGCCCACTTTAAGCAGTTTACAGCGTCAGCATATTGCCCCCAACAATTTGGGTCCTCATTTTACCCACCTCGGAAGGATGGAAGGATGAGTCAACCTTGAGCCTGGTGGGATTTGAACTGCCAAATTGTAGGCAGCTGGCTGCAGAAGTAGCTTGCAATACTGTACTCTTAACTACTGCGCCACAGAGTCTCCTTATTAATAGCTTCCAGGTGCAGTTTAAGGCACTGTTTATACTTAAAAAGTCCTATTGGGCAAAGGATTTAGTTATTTTTGTTACAATCTATTCCTAAAGACATCTCTTATCTCTCATTTTAATAGAGTGTGCATGCTTTGAGTCTCTTCACTGAAACAATGCCACATGATAGGAACCAAAGAGCTGCCTTTTCAGTAATGGTGTCTGCTCCTTGGGACAGTTTTCCCATTTTTCAGTTCCCCTGTTAAAAATATGACTACCCAGTATGAGTATTGGGGCCTGAGTAAGTTCCCATCAGGAAATTTATTTATTTATTAAATTTATTTGCCACCCATCTCGTAAGAAAATGACTCTGAAATAGTATGAATGTGAATCAGGTTGCCTGTCATTTATTTTATTTATTGTTTGGGTGAGTTGTACGCCATTTTGTGTCATGTTCAAGTTTAGCTAGCAGCCATATAAATTCTGTAAGTAAATAAATACTGAGTTCTTATTGTTTTTACATTGTCTAAAGCTATTTGCTAGGATAAATTACAAAGCGTATTCATTTGAATATTAGCAGTAGATAATATGCAGTCTATCACTGATTTAATAAAATCTAGTTACAACGTTTTCTACATTTATGTTTTCATGTTGCTCAAATTGATCTTCTGAAATCTAGACTCTTAATATTTATATATATTCAGTATAAAGATTTATATGTATGTGTGTGTTGGTTTATTGCACCTTGAGACATTTAATAGTGACTGGTTGTGAACAGATGTTTCAACAAGCAGAGAAATATTCCTTTTAGCCTTGTTACCAAGAACCAAAATATTTTAGACAATTTGTGAGCAAATAAACATATTTCACGTCAACGTTTATTTGTTATTGTTTCTCTTTAATTATGCTTGCCAAAGAGAATGTCATTCAGTGCTGCTTGCTTTTTAAATTTCTTATGTTGATCCCTAGGTTAATAGTATTTTTCGGAGTAGATAGATTTGGTTAAGACAAATTAAATGCCGTCTATTAACTGTGAAAATGTTAAAGTCTTATTCAGAAATAAATAAAGGTTTAGCACCATACTGTTATAGATTGCAAAAGCATGAAGAGTTCAAGTTGAAGGGTCCTTGGTGCTCTCTGAACTCGCTCATTTCATTACCCAAATTAGGTAACATTACCGGTGCTTTGAGTTGGAACTCATACACAGGGTCACTAATAAAATAATTGTTTAAATATAGATGTCCTTACCCTGTGCTCCCTCCCTTTAATATTTAATGGTTTTTAGTCTTCTGGAAGTATAGTAAAACAGAGATTTCCAGAACTCCATTTAAAGGACTTTAGAAACAATAAACATAATTTCATTTTGATCTTAGACAATGGAGAAAATATGTTTAGAGATAAAATGAAAAATAAAATTACCACTGTTAATAAAGCAGTTTAAGACATTGACATGATTTTATTTCAGCATTGTGTAATTATATTAATGAAAATGTTATAATAAAAGTTTTTAAAAGCTCTGCACCAAGCACAGCAGAATAGTGTTTATGAACTGATGATCTACTACATTCAAATTATTCAACATTGGGAATGTAATTTATAATTGCCCAAGTATAACTACTCCCCTTTCCCCTTGCAGTCTGGTAACTCATATGGTACAGGTAATTGATTTTTTACTCTTGGAAGACCTGAAGAGCCAGATTGGAGACAGATCATCTTGGAAGAAGTCTGTATGTTCACTAAGGGGCATGTAATCAATCAAATCCACATGTTTCTTTGAAGGGTGGATTATTAGCATTCACTCAGAGCTGAGTCCCCCAAAGCCAATATTTCAAACTGTGGTGAATGTTTATAGCCAAGTTATAAATTGCTGGAAAAATAATGCCTTTGTATAAGTAACTGTGACAGTACTTTTAACTACTGATCCATGAACACAACATCACTGTATTCCAGATTATTGTAGTTGTAGCAGTGGGACTCTAGGTCATAAGAATCAATTGTTTCAATTATTTAGTCTTTCAACCCCACTTTTGAATCAAACTTTTACTTATTTATATGGCATTTAAAAAATAATATTTTTCTGTCAATACATCCATTAATTACCTAATTAACAAATGAATTCTCTGCTATGAATATAAATAACCTATTATGTATATTAATGTCTTGTATTTACAATGGGAAGATGAGGGTTTAAGACAATGTGTTTATCTTTGAACTGTGTAGAAGTGGATCAATATTTGAAGGTTTTTTTAAAAAAACCAAGTAAACATCCAATTACCATTGCAGCAAATATTTAAATATTTCATATCAGATATTTCTTGCTGTCCAGAGTGTCATTTCTGTTTCTCTCCCCCCCTTTTTATTTCTAGATTTTTCTTTTTGAAATCCACTCTCTCTCCATCCATATTCCTAATATTCCCAGAACTTCTTTGCCCTTTCCCTAGTCACTATACCAAGTGTTAAAATGTTTATATGCTTTTATAACATGAGCAATAAGGGGAATCTAGCAATATAAGCAAATGTATATTTTCTGAGCATTACGCTATAGTATAGTTAAGGTGTTGGACTTCAATCAAGGAGACCCAGGTTCAAACCCACTTTTAGCCATGGAAAATTACTAGGTAACTTTGGGCCAGTCACTCTCTTTCCACTAATTCATCTCACAAGATTGTTGTGGAGATGAAATGAATTGCAAACCCCATGAAAGCCCTCTTGAGCTTTTGAAAAACAGGATGTAGACTGTGAAGTAAATACAATTCCTGTTATAATGGTAACTTCTTATAAATTCCCACTTGACATACTTTCTGCCTTTTCTTTCCTCAACTAAGTTACTTAGAGTGCAGATTTATCTTTGTATTGTGTTCCAAAGTAAATACAAATGAGTTCATTAGTTCTTACTTTCAGAAAGTGAAAAACTGCCTCAGTATCTGGAAACCTTTATACATAATACATACTGTAAACAGTGATTAGCAGAAAGCACAAAAAGCATGCTTTTATGTTCAACATAATTCTAACATCATAACTTTAGATTTCTGCAAGTTCTTCAGAGTTTTCTGTGACTATTGGATTTGATGGAACCTGGATCCTGAGGCAAAGTAAGCTAAATTGAATTTTTTTAAAATTCTGCTCCAAGCTGGAGTAGAAAAGTCTGAATTCAGTCAGTGACTTAACAAAGTTTCATTCTGATTTGTTTTCAAGAAGACCTGTAAAAAATGCTAAAGGTGAAAAAAGTGGGAGGTACATTACTTCATGCACTTAAATAAATATTAAGATAGGGAAAATGTGGAAAATGTGGGAGAATCATAATTGAGATGCTTCCTCTGCTTGAGAATATTTTTAAACTTCTCAGACTTTTAAATGTTTAAATTTAAGAAGATTTTTAAACAGTCTTACAGGCCCTGTGTACATAGATGACAATGACAAATCATTCCATTTTCTAGAAGCTCTATATGAATTATTCATTTAAAATGTGTGTGAAATTACCATTCATTTCAAGAATAAAATACTGCATGAATAAATATCTGTGGACAGAGGCAAGGACAAGACTTTTTCTTGGTTTTAGTCATTCATTTTAAATAATTGATAACTATGTTAAAACACTTTTTAGAGGAAAGATAGTATTTAAATAAATAGAGCTTAAGAATATAGTAATAAATGTAGGAGATTGGGCTTTGATTTGGATATCCTCATTGTTTATCTACAAAGAATTTTGAATTTAAAATGAATAGCCAATGTTCAGTTTGTTGAATTCCAATCAGATCAGCAAAAATAAACATTGGTATTTAATAATTTGTGGGCTAATTTTACCATTGTGGATTTTTTTATGAGATAGGGTTTTTTGGATGTTATAAATTGTATCAATTAATCAGCTGCACTTAGCAACTAGTATCAAAATATTTCAGCTGAATTGTATGTGGTTTTGTGGATTATTATGCATGTATCAGACATCTTAAAGGAGAACATGGAAGAAAAATATTAACTGTTTATTTCTCCTTGGTATCGAAATTCTCCTCTAAAATATGCTTCCAGATTTCCCTATAAGCAATGAATGTTAATAATCAGACATGAGATTTTTCAGATGTGTACTATATGGATGGATGTTTAGCATGAGATTTATGGAAACAAACTGGTTTGCAGTTACCACCAATTAACATTTCACTTCCGATTTGCAGGAATTGGGTAGCCTTGGTGCATTAGGTACAACTTCTGCGCTATGGGAAAAAGAAACAAGAGGACAGCAGATAGTTCGTCCTCTGAAGAAGAGGAGGAATATGTTGTGGAGAAGGTTCTAGACAGGCGTGTTGTGAAGGGTCAAGTGGAGTATCTTCTCAAGTGGAAAGGATTCTCTGAGTAAGTCCAACTTTCCTTCTGACATGGGCTTTGATCTTTCTTGGTAGCAGAGCTCCAGGCAGTGTTTCAAATTAAGAATCCATTGCCATTATTCAAGCTTTCCCTTAAAGGAGGAAGGTAAACCCCACAGGTGGGAGCTTGCTTTGCTCACTCCAAATAAGAGTGGCGTGCATCCATTTAAACAAGTGGGTCATGAGGCAAAGCCTGGGACCTTAAAATGTGTTTTGGAAATACTGGCATCCGCGTTCCCTCTCTCACTTCACAGAGTTGGTAGTTCCACTTGAGTTATTCACCAGCACTATTGCTTAAAGAGCTTCATGGAGAAACAAAATGTTAATTCCCTCCACTCCACACTATAATATAGTAATTCTGCAATAATTAATTCTGTGATCTTAGCTTCCCCATTGTGGATTGGACCTTTACCCCACTTGGCTAATAAAAACAGTCAAGCAGGGGACTAGAAGTAGGATCCAGACTGTAATCAATAATTCTTTTGAGAGAAGGGGAAATCCTAGAAGCCCCTAAAGAATTTCCTTAAGAGACTAGATACAACAAAATTAGACATCCTCTTCCTTTTTTGATTTAATGGTGGTGCTGCAGTTGCAGAAGGCTCTGGAGGGTGGATTATCTTAGCCCTTGATAGATCAGACCTGGGCAAGGGATGGAAGCATGTTGGTCACTCTTCTGGCTGTCCTAAAGTGAGGCTTAGATGTGACCATCTTTGTTCTTCTGAATCTCTTAGTAACCTTTGATACCGTCGATCACAGTCCTTCTGGATTGCCTGCAAGAGGTGAGAGTTGGAGGCATGATGCTGTAATGGTTCCACTCCTACCTGAGGTGTCCAGATGTTGACTGTGGAGGGAAACAGGTCAGACTCCTGGACAATTCTGTATGGGGTCCCTAGTTGAGTCCTTTGCCTTATGCTCTTCAACATCTACATGAAACCACTGGGAGAAGTTATCTGTTTGTTTGGGACAAAGTATCATCTATAAGTAATTCACTTCTCTACCCTAGGCCTACTAGGAGAAAGAAAGAAGTCCTGACCTGATTGATGTCTGGAGGCAGTCACAGTCTGAGTGGGGAAAAGCAGGCTCAAACTCAACCCAAGCAAGACAGTGTAGTTATTGCTTCAGATAATGTCTTATTCCAGGACTGCACCATCTTTGTGCTAAATGCACTTTTGGGCAAAGCACATGATTGCAATCAGTTTGTGTTTGTGAATGGCTACTGGTCAAAGACTGGGTGGAGACCATGGCCAGAAGGGCTTTTGCATAGCTTCAACTGGTTCACCAGTGCAGCCTCCTTGGAACACAGTGCACTGAAGATGACTTCAGATAAGATTACTTCTCCAGATAAGATTACTGTAACCTGCTGTACTTGGGGCTGCCCTTGAGGACTGTGTGGAAGCTTCACACAATATGCATGCTCAGCCAAGAATCACAAAACTGTGGCAGGAGCTGCACTAGTTATCAGTAAGTTTCCAAGTGCAAATCAAAACACTGATGATTACCTACAAAGCCCTATAATGGCTCAAAACCTGAGCATCTTTTAGGCAATTCCTTTTCCCAATTGTTGTGTCTTCCTACCCAAATAACAAAAGAGTGCTTATTAAGAGTATCAGGAAGCAGGAGGGGGGCCTAGTGATGGATGTACTGTGTAGCAGCTCCCTCCTTTAGCATACCTTGCCCCCAAGGCAAAGATCCTCAGGACCTTTCAGAAGCAGGCAGAGGCATGGTTCTTTCAGAAGACCTTAGAGATTAATTTTTACCATGACCATTTTTACCATCATATTCAATAAATTTAACATTGTTTTTAACATCAAATCAAATTGAGATTTAATTGAATTACCATTTTAATTAACACTCTCTATTGCATTATAGGGAAATTTTGTAAGCTCCTTGAACGCTATAAAATAAATCATTCAAGCACAGAATTTTGGTATTGGGTGTTAAATAGCATCCTGGATGTTTCATTTTTACTTTTTTAAAAGACCATTCTAGCTGCTATAGTGATTAAAAGTAAGTTGCAACTGCAAGATAATGCCTGGAAATCTGTGAAGCCAAGATGGGCCAAGTAGAATTTCCAGGATTATATAATGGAACTTAACTGAATAGAAAACTGCCCAGTTGAATGTATCAGAGCAAGATATGCAGAAGAGTGCGAGTGTTTTAAGCACCCAGGATGAACATTCTTTCTCAACTTACAAGATGATTGCTCCAAACGATTTTTGTGAATGTGTGTATTCATATGTATTTGTATCGTGGTTTATTAACCTGGGTTATGCCAGATAGCTTTACAGTTCCAAAAGATCAAACTAGGTTATCTGTAGAATCATTATCTACAAGATTCAGATTTGAGGATGGATGCACACTACTTACTTTAAATGGATGCACACTACTTGATTGTAGGAAGGCAAACCAATTAAGCCAATATGGAAGTGTTGATCTATTGTGCAGCAACTGAAACAGCAAGTCCCTCTGATATCACAGCAAAAAAGAAGAAACTTTCTATATTTGGTGGGGGTTTGCAATATTTCAGTTAATCAGACATCCTGAAGTCTTATTCTGTCTTACTCTGTTACCGAGGTAAAATAGCTGTTGATTATTAATCTCCCAGACTTGCTGGGAGTTGGGTGGCATCTATGTTTAATTATTTTTATTATTCCCAAGATGCTTTGAGATATATATAGTATTTTGCTGTGATCTTATTTATTTAGCATATGTGATCTATATATTGGATACAAATTAGCTTAATTAACCTGTGGGATGTTTTTTCCTTCACCCCATCATGTCTCTTCCTTGAGTGGATTTATTTAATTTCTTCTTCTAACCTGTTTCTCTGAGCCTCAAACATTAGTTTGCTGCCATGAGCTTTTAATTATCTTTAATAAAGGGTTATTATAATATTATTTATTAGCATTTATTTATCATCTTACTTACTATCTTAAGAAACTGGGTGTGTAAGATAAGGGTATCTTCTGACAAATATTTTGCATTTTAAATGTCATGCTGGTTTGGTATTACAGGAAATAATCTAATATTTGAGGAAATGCCTTTACCTGGATATGTTCCATTTGTGAAAGTGATTCTTAGAATATACATTTCTATAATAAGATGTATATCTAATGTTTTGTACCGGTAATCCTCTACTTACTACCACAATTGAGCCCAGAATTTATGTTGCTAAGTGAGTTTTGTTCCATTTTACAATGTTTCTTGCCACATTTGTTAAGTAAATCACTGCAGTTGTTAAATTAGTAACACGGTTATAACTACACAGTTGTTAAGTGAATCTGGCTTCCCCATTGACTTTGCTTGTCAGAAGGTCACAAAAGGGGATTACATAACCCTGAGCACTGCAACCATCATAAATGTGAGTCACTTGTGAAGCATTCAAATGTAAATCACGTGATCATGAGCTTGCTGCAATAGTCATGTGAAAAACAGTCACAAGTCACTTTTTTCAGTGCCGTTGTAACTTTGAACTGTTGCAAGTCGAGGACTAACTGTATATCAAGGTATCAAAACATATTTATAAATAACAGCCCTACGCAGGAATGAGATGGTAGATAAATATAACAAATTTCTTAAATGCCCAGCGAGGTCCCACTCGCCATCCTCAGGCTGGTGCTTTCTGCTTCGTGCTGCACTGGCACGAAGCCGAAAGCACCAGCCTGAGGATGGCGAGTGGGACCTCGCTGAAACGTCGCCAAGATACTCTTAATCTTACATGGGAAAAGACCCGAACACACTGTGTGTGTGTGTGTGTGTGTGTGTGTGTGTGTGTGTGTGTGTATGTTTTCTTAAGTTTTCGCGGGTACTTACATGTATGGCATTCAGCTTTGTTCGGGTATTTTCCCACGTCATAGTAGTGGTGCTTTTAAAGTTGTAGCAACGTTTCAGCAGAATCTCGTTCAGCAGATGATGGCAGATGAGATTCTGCTGAAACGTTGCTACAACTTTAAAAGCACAACTATAATGATATGGGAAAATACCCAACAAAGCTGAATACCATACATATAAATACCCATGAAAACTTACATATGTATGTATGTATGTATATGTATGGTATTCAGCTTTGTTCGGGTATTTTCCCACGTCATTATAGTTGTGCTTTTAAAGTTGTAGCAACGTTTCGGCAGAATCTCATCTGTCATCATCAGGCTTCTGTGTTGTGTTCGTCTGTGAGTCAGACTTTCACAGCCGTTTCGGTTTTAAATTTGGTGCTAGCCTACGCTGTGCCAGAATGGTTTTTTCTTCATCTTTATATATGTTCTTTTAAAATTTTTATAAAAAACACACAGACACATATACACACACAGTTTAAAAAACATAAAAATAACACAAACTAATAAAAAGAAAAAGCAGAAAAAAGGACAAAAGTGCAAAAAGAAAGAAGAAAATGAAATAGAAGTTTTCAATTTTCTTTGTAGCAAATATAAGTACAATGGCAAAATTATGTCTTACTCTGTAATTACAAAAGAAAGCTCACACGTTGCTATTATCCAGTTGTTTTTCTAATCATCAAAACCACAAACCATAAGTACATTTTTTCTATTTTATGCAAAAATTCTGTAAAGGGTTTCCAATCAGCCATAAATAAAGATATTGTTTTTTTCTCTAAGCAAAGAAGTTAATGTATCCATAAATCATGTTCACCAGCCATTTCTCTATTGTGGGTATTATAGAACTTTCCATTTATGAGCATATAATAGTCTCGCTATAATTATCACATATAAAAAAAGTTCCATAGCTTTTTTCTAGTTGTTTATCTATTAGTCCCCAAAGAGAGAGGTCTGGTTTCAATTGTGTGTTAACTTTTACAATATTCTGAATTAATGTAAAGGTAGTCTTTGACTTACAACTGTTTGCTTAATAACCATTCAAAGTTACAACAGCATTGCAAAAAGTGGCTTACAACCAGTTCTCACACTTACAATTGTTGTAGTATCCCAATAGTCATGACCAAAATTCAGGTGCTTGTCAACCAACATGTATTTAGCATGGTTGCAGTGCCTGAGGTCATGTGATGGGAGAAGCTGGATTCACTTAATGACCATATGATTGACTTAACTACAGTAATCTGCTGTGAACAACCTAATCTACAGTAAAGAACCATGTAAAAATGGTCGTAAAATCCGATGTAAGTCATTTTGCTTAGCAATGAAAATTCTGGTCCAATTGTGATGTTAACTTGAGGACTTAATAACCTGTATTATTAGTATCCAATATTTTTTGAGCTTTTTTACATGTCCATCATGCATGATATGTTTTTTCATGTAATTCACATTTCCAACAAAGATTTGAAGTATATGTATACACTCAAGACAATTTCTCTGGTGACAAATATCAATGATACATCATTTTATAAAAATTCTCTTTAAGATTGGAACATAATGTAAAATGTAATGTATAAGCTTGAGTTTTTGGTAAACTTGAAAAATAATTAAATTATTTTGGTAAAGGTCATGAATTCCTGGAAAAAATGGAACTGTTCTTTCATACATTTATTATGGATTATGACTTCTCTCACTTCTCAGTTGATGTTTGTGATCACTGAGTGGGAATGTCTTCATTTTTTCTTCTGTTTGTTACTCTCCTTTCCCCCCACTTGTTGCCCATCTCTTGTTGTTGTGTCAGGGAGCATAATACCTGGGAACCTGAAAAGAACCTTGATTGCCCTGAACTGATTGCTGAGTTTATGAAAAAATACAAAAAAATGAAGGAAGGTGAAAACAAGCCTCGGGAGAAATCAGAGGGCACCAAGCGAAAGTCTAGCCTTGCCAACAACACTGAAGAGATCAAAGCCAAAAAGAAGAGAGAGGTGAGTATCCTGCTGAAGATCTTTCCTCTTTTTATGACAATTTCTGTTTGGCATACTTATGTAGACAGTTCTTCCTGCGTTTTAAAATTGGACAAAAAACTTCAATTTGGATTTTCAAATAATATCAGGAGTGAAAAACATCTTTTCAAAATAAAGTCCCTACTTCGTGCTAATTTTTACATACCTCTTGTGGAAAACTATCTTGTATAACAGGATGAACTAATTGCCACCACTATATTCTAAAGTAATTGTATTCTAAATGCTGTATTTTAAACTGATTGCCACCACTATTTTCTTTACCATTGTAAAGAAAAGAAACACTAAAGTAATTACAACTTTAAAATATAATAAAGATTAACAATCAAACGGGGCACTATGGTAGAGTAGATTAAGCGCTGAAGAAATGCAATTTATCATTTGAAAGGCTGGCTGAAGCAAGATTCTTAATTGTGACAATAAACAAAGAATGCACGAGGCTGAAGACTTCTCTGCCTAGATAGATTCTTCCTTTTTATTATCTTTAGTTTGCTTCAACTTCTTGCAACTTGAATGAATGATTTATTGGCCAAGTGTGATTAGACACACAAGGAATTTGTTTTGGTGCATATGCTCTCAGTGTACATAAAAAGAAAAGATATATTCATCAAGAATCACAAGGTACAACATTTAATGATAGTCATAGGGTACAAAATAACTTGTCTCTAGAAGAGCTTTGAAAGTCTAGTTTAAGAATCTCTTGGGGAAAAATGTGCAGCCAAATGGTACTGAAACCTTTGCTGCTGAAATTAAAGGATGTTCAGAGCAGATGCGATTCATGAGGAAACCAGGGAAAAAACCTCTCTGGGGGTTCTGGTGCACATTGAATTCAGTGTACTGAATATTTGTCCGTTGCTTTGTCTTGGGAAGTGTGCCTTCCCTGTCATGGTACTTGAGGTTTGGAATAGATCCTTCTGGAAGTTTGGACTGCCTGATCCTGCAATATTCTTTAAATATATGGCTTTTTCCCACAAGCTATGGGACAGGTTGATGATGTGCCCATGTGATGCTTACTGATTTTGGTTGTGATGTTTCCACTTATTACATAATGTTTTCTCATGTTGTTTTTAAGCATTGTACTGGTTTTAATTGTAAAATATGCTGCATGGAATCTGCTTTCAGTTTATTTGGTCTAAAAAATAGTAGTTATAACCTAAATATACATTATGTTTATAAATTCATTCATTCATTCAAGTTATATGGTATTAAAACACATCTTTACTGGGTGCTGTGAACTTGTGAAAACTGTATAAACGAGGATCTTGTGACTGGCATTTTATGTCTTGCCATTCCCCTCTGGAAGAGAAAAATCATCTATAACTCCATGTGTTTATTTTTTTTTTTAGAGTCTTATCTGAAAAAAATGTCCTGCCCTTTACATCTGTGCCTATATAAAATTATGACTGTCATTAGAAATTCAAATCTGCACTCTACTGTTAGCCCTTAATGAAATCATGGGGGGTAATAAGGTCACACATTTCATATCCAGCAGATTATTATTAGTGTATTTGGATTACAGTTTTATAAAACCATTATGATTTTTCCTTAAAATGTGGAAAGTAAATCTGTCAGTTGTGAAATGAATTATTTGTTTCCTGCCAGAGCTACTTCAGTTCTCTTAACATTTTAGGTTGCCATGGTTCCCTGTTCAACATGGTGCCTCTGTTTTTTCAGAGCAAGTCAATTAGAACTATGCATAGCAGGGATTCATAGAGGCCTAATTTCCTGTTAAGTACAGGAATCCAAAATAAAACAAGTGCCTTTTTAGCTTCTGCTTCAGCACATCCAGTGAATGGGAGTCCATAACATCACTGGATAGTTGCTTCCATTATCACTTTTCCAGTTAGAATGTTTTTCTTAACATTTAACTGAACATTCCATTTAGTGGACTTTCATTAAAATTTAGTGTCCTAAGAAGACTCTTGCATGATATCACAGAGTCATGTAGGTGAGATGGGCTTTGTAAAAATTTGATAAAATAAATATCTTTCCATGTTTTTGAAGAACGCTTTCATTATTCTCCCTCAGTCTTCTCAAGGCTAAACATTCCTGACTTCTTCATGGCATTTAATCATTGTTATTAAACAGACTTGGGGATCTTAACAATAGTTAATATCCTAAATATACATCCAACCCATAAATTAGCTTTCTGAGGAGGCTGTACAACAGCAGAGAGCTACTGGAAATCATAGGTTGACAATAAAGTTATTGCTGATCAGATGTCTTTCTGAGCATTGTGTTCTTTGTACACTTTCTTACTATGGCCAATATATGCACTATTTGATATATGGTATTTCTGTAAAAAAAAAAAGTGCATAGATAGTTGAGCTCATTTTGCTCTGATAATGTCTGACATTTTTGCTCCCTTTCTGATAAGTTAAATTTTTAATTAATGTTATTTTTATGTAAGCATCTTCTCTGAATATCTTCTCTATCTAAACCTATCTAAAATGGACTTGTATAGCATTGTTTTAGGACAAGATACACTTTTATCTGGATGAATAGGAAGCTATATTCAATATTCAGATCCATCCCTGAAAAACAAATCTTTTAAGTTATTGTCTTGTGTTAGTTTGATCCAGCCATTTAATGTATATTACAAGATGTCAATTTAGGGTTCTGAGAAATTCTCTAGTGGTAGAGGAGTGATCAATTCGGATTGTGCACATGTGGTATTACTAAATATTGGGTATGCATATAATGTGTGGCTTGTAGATTGTACCTTAGCTTCCTGTATTCTCTAGGGGACGAGAATACAATGAAGCTTGTTAAAGGTAGGTCTCTTTTATAAAAGAGCTTTGGTATCTCAAGATTCTTGCAGCACTCAAATAAAAATATTTGGATTTTTAAATTATTGTTGATGGTGGTGATGGTGGTTTTTACTATGTTTCTTTTTCTCTCTACCTGACTGGTTGTAATCCTTTTGAGAAGCCCTAATGAGGGGCTCTCTCTGTCTTCTAGCATATATTTTTTTTATTTATTTATATGCCAGGCGGGTTTGGGGCATGTCATTTAAAGCACAGGAGGAGAATGTAGGCAAAGTTGTGAAATCTTTAACTTACTAAATTTACTTTCAGTAATGGAATTTGGCTTGGGAACATTTACCAGAGGGAATATCAGCATTCCCTTCTGCACTGGTGTTTTAAATTAAAAGTTGTATGATCTGTTTTTGGGACATCCAAAAATAGTATTGATAAACTGTACATATATACAGATATAAAACCCAAACAAATCATCAAACTATCTTTAAAACCTTTGTTGGAAGAAATATCCATCCTGTCCAGTTCCAAGCCGGGAGAAAGGCATTGGAGATAAAATGGAGGCTGGAGGCTGATTGGAAAGAGGGTCCAATAATTGATGAAGCAGAACCACCAAGCATGTGTGATTCTGGACAGGTGACTACATGGAGTTGAGAATTTTATACCTTCTCTTGGGCTTTGCACTTGAGCTTCCTGTTCCTGTGCAAGAACATGTATTATATTGGCTGTTGTCAGACTCCAATGGGCTATATAGGAGTTGTTTGGAGGTCATAGCTGGCTCTATAGGCAAAGTACAAATCCTAGGTGTTTGAGCTAAGTTTGGTTGAAGTTTTTAAAGGTGATGTTGGGCAATTCCTATTGTTTTTAAAAGGGGTGTTGGGCAATTCCTATAGTGGCTCAGGGCTAATCCTACCTTTGTTGTATCTTGGGTGTGGGTATTTACTAAGAATAGAGCTATCTATCTCTTTTATCTCTTAAGTGCTGATATCTGCTGTGGTCTATTAAAGAAGGTGGGGGCTGATTTCTAAGAGCATGTTTCTTAATTTCTCATCCAGGGAAACATAATATTCTGCCTTTTTAATATTTCTCAAAATATTTCATTCTTCCAGGAGAGGGGTGGGTGCTAACTTTCTACACCTTCAAATGTGATCAGAGAGAAAAGGAAGTTGTGTGTGTTGTGAGTAAAATAGGCAGGCTCTAAATTTGCTAAACATGTTTACAAGCTTGCTTAGACAAAACTCTGTCTGCAATCACAGATAAGTGGCCTACAATCTCACAGTGCAGGACCAAATCTTAATGATAGTTACAAATCCTGCTGAAAATACAGAATTTTATAAAGTAATATACTTTAGTCAGCCTATTATCCAGGTACTGCTCTGGCTAATTTATATATAACAAGACCTTTGGTTTGAAAAACTTTTTCTACCAAGTTGCTGAGTGATGTAGTAGCAATCTTTTTAAGGCTACACTAATTTTAATAGTTGCTGGTACTTTAAGGAATTAGATATTTATTGAATGGGGAGGCTATAGCCTTCCAGGTAAAATGGTGAACTACAACTCCCAATAACCCCAACTGTCTTGGCTAGTAATAAGGCATTCTGGGAGTTGTATCTTGGAGATATTGGAGGATTGTAGGTACCCATTTCTGCTGAATCTAGATAATTTTTTTTTAAAAAAAATCTGCATCAAGTTCTCCATTTTTCCTACCCATGTCTTGGGAGGCTAAGACCAATTCATATCTTAAAAATTTCCCACACTAAATGAACTTGTCTTTTTTTTTAGGTTAAAAAAAATCCTGTCCATAATATTAAACATTAGTGAACAATTAAAAGGCGAGAGTGCTTCTTAAGTACTTTTTGAAGGCTTTCTTTTGCAGTAGATTGCACAATTTGTAAATTCCTTCCTTCCTTTGGGTTGTACCAATCATTAGATGAGTTGGTTCGATCTTGTTTTCTTCCACTTAACTATCACAGGTTATTGTAATGCATTTCTTTTCTTTTCCTTCTTTCTCACTTTGCAACTGGCTTCAAAAGTACTTCAAAAAAAAAAAAAAAGCCAGGCAGTCTGCCTCTGACATGCTTGGTCTGCATAGCTGCATCTGCTAGACAGTATGTGCGAGCAACAAATGTGTGGATCTCTAGCAGAATAGCGTGCGGTGGTGGTGGTGGTGGTGGTGCTGCTGCTGCTGCAAAGCAGGGAGAACGCTTCTCGCTCCAGGCTTGCGGTGACTGAAAGCTGTTACCAGCCTTCAGATGGTATGTGCAGAGGGAGCTGATTGACCCTTGTCTGGGGGCCCCCCTCCGGAGACTTAAAGCTCTCGGTTGCAACAACAACCAACCAAAAATTTCCCCCCTTCTGCATGAATGGGACACACCCATCGACGGCACCACCGGCACAAAGACCTCAAGGACTGTGTGAGCCCGTAGAGGTGGTGCGCTCTGGAGCGGGGGAGGCGTAGCAGGGATGGGGAGCTTTGGAAATCGCGAATGGCTGCTGCTGCAGCAGCTGCTGCAAAGGCAAGATGACTTAATTCCCTCAATCTGCCCCCATCGCTTTCTTAGTTCATTTTCATGGCGACTTCGGGTCTCTCCCCCCCCACCTTTTAGGCTTCTTTCCTTCACCTCGGCAGTCTCTCCCTCTCCCAACATGTAGTGAGGGAGAGAGCAAAGATTAATAATACAGGCAGGAAAGATATTAAGGCCTCCTCGGCTGCTAATTACAATCACGCCACGTATGGCATCTGTTTATCACCTGCTTCTGAGTGGCCCTGGAAGCCTCTGCTTCATGGTTGAGGAGACTAACAAATGGCTAAGGAATAGGAATATTTTAACTCTTTTTCTTCTCACTTTCTCTCCATCAGAGCACCGATATTGCCAGGGGCTTTGAAAGAGGATTGGAGCCAGAAAAAATCATCGGAGCCACAGACTCCTGCGGAGATTTAATGTTCCTAATGAAATGGTGAGTGTGCTTTTTTTTATTTATTTAAAAAAAAACAACATCTTGTGGTCCGATAACTGCATTTTTTTTCTCCTTTGTGAAATACCCCCAGTAAATAAACCACTCTTGGGTGAGGCGCCATGGTTTAATGGCAGTTCCTTGGCTGGGCTTTGTTCTCCCTGGGTTGGATGTTAGCTTCTGCTTTACAGATGCAAGTCCACCCTGAGCTTACAGTTGCATGGGTTTTGCTTAAAGGAAGGCAAATTTATTGCCTCCCTCCCTTGTCACCCCCAAAGTAGAGAGAGCACAGGAAATCCTTCTGGAAAGGTTTGACTTGCCTCTTGTTTTTGTTCCTGAGCTTATCTCTGCGGGAAGCCTCTCTGCAGACAGGCAGGGCAGCAGAGAGAGAGAGAGAGAGAGTTGGCTAGGCTGCATATGCAGCAGCTGCCCCTCCCCCAGCAGAAGCTGAGACAAAGAGCAGAGCCTGGCTTATCAGCCAGCCAGAGGTTATAGCATAGCTGCCTTTAAGAAAATAGCCTTTTGCAGCTGCCGCCACCCCCACACCTCTTCCTCCCCCCCCCCCCTACCATCAGAATTCCATCTTAGGAGAGCAGGTCTTCCCCCACATCAAGGCACTGGAAGAAATAAGCCCTTGTCCTCCTTTCCTGTCTGTAAAGCTGGTTAGGCTGAGATGGATGGGGCTGCTGCTCCTTTGCAAGATAGAGTGGGGGGCGGGGGATCCAGCTGCAGGCCACTCTTTAGGAAAGGAGAGGGGGGAGGGAAGGAAAGAAGGAAGAGCAAAGACTAAAGGGCTTGGTAGTTTTCCACCATCATGTTTCTTTGTTATGTGCTGGGGGCGGTGGGTCTCCGAAATTTATCTTGTAATGGTTGCAATTCCTAATTTGGGCACTCCTTTAGCATCACCTGAATTGCAATTGTAACTTAGTAGTGGTTGTATACTTTGAGCCCCTGATTTTCAAATCCCAGACTATTGATCAAAATAAGATCTAAAATATTTACTGTTTGAATGTCCGTAGATGTCTAGGGTTATCACTGTCAGCTGACCTGAATTCTGAAGGACAGGAAATACATTCAGTAAAGCTAATAGCAGAGTAATATTTTAGACAGTATCCTGAATAAATTTATCAAAAATAATTTTATTGCTGCACTTACTGTATATAAGAATTACAGTAAATACCATTAAAAAGTGTGTACATTCTAGTGAGTTAGATTGCTTTTACTGTTTTATAAAAGAACTGAATTAAAAGACTTAGGTTTAGATTCAAACCTCGGGCTTGTAGGCCAAGACCAGATTATTCCTTACAGTGCACTTGTACTCAGACCAGTAAATTAGCTAGTTCAAAAGAGCCTAATATCCTAAACAGTGGAATTAATCAGGATATTCTTAGAACAGATTGCAAAGTTCAACTACACTAATTGTAATTAACTCTGCTGTGCATTAGATTATTTTTTTTAATCTTACCTTTGAAATTGATGGGCTCTATGTTCATTAACACATATTAGCTATGTTGGCTCTTTAACTCAGTTACTGAATTAAGATTGCAGTCCTATTACATTTGCTCTAAAGAAAGTTAAATGAAAATCAGATTTTCTAATGATAATTTTATCAGATAGTAATTGTTTGCAAATTTAATGAGCAGTAACTTTTATAGCTATAAGAAAAGCTATATTTCAGCTCTGTTGGGATATGAAATATTGTATTTACTGCTTTTTAAAGCAAAATTAAGGCAACAAATTTAAAACCTTGGCTTAAACATTTATTTACCAATTGTCATTGAACATTATCAATCTTAGTTACTGATGATTGTTAAAGCTTTTGCATTACAGACTATTAAGTACTAATGTTGGGGAACATATTTAAAAGAAAAGTCATTCTCTAATGTCTTTTATGAGAATTGCTGACATAGTTATAGGGCATCCTGCCCTGATAGAGGAGAGTCCTGTCTTAGAATGTGTTTGTCATTTGTGTCCCTTTAGTTAAATGGGTGAAGATTAATTCTGATGAAATTTTTAGTAGAGTGCCATTAATTAATTTAAGTTTACTGCTTTAATCAGTACTACTGTTCCTGGAATGGCAGTTAAAGCAGGTAGGGCAGGGGTGGAACAAAGCTAATAAACCAACTGATCCTTTTTTTCTATTAGAATTCTTCATCCAGGTGTCATCCAGATGTTCCCTGCAATAGCATATTGGCAGGGGATTGTGGAAGTTGTAGTTGAGGGCAGATGGAAGGGACCATTCTAGATTATGAATTTATTCCATGCCATTAACTTATGTAGTAACTTTCTGAAACATAAAATTGGTATAAGTTTCCTCAAAGTTCTTAAATAGATCAGAAACAAACCATAGAAAATGTCCTTCAAAAGATATTGTTGTAGTTTTCTTTTTTATGTGCTATTGGGTACCACCATGGACTAATATTTATTCTTGTTTAAGTTTAACCTTATATTTTACTTTTCTGTTTGCTTAATGTTTTTGCAATTTTTCATTTGTCTGTAGTACCTTTTCTTTCCTGTTAAGAGTTCAAAATAGAAAATAAGTCTTTAAAATATCTGTAGATAGTAAGAAAATACCATTTGCTTAAAGGCCCAATGATATATCAAGAAAATGAAATTTGGGGGTTTTGGGTTTTTTTGGGGGGGAGGGGGGGGTGCTGCATTGTAAACATTTGTAGTACTTTTCCACCTTGACTATCTTTATGGGGATCTCTTGTGAAAATGGGCAAAACTGAATAAAAGATTTAGAAAATGGGTGCCTCTTTAAGATAATACCTCTGGGAATTGGGCATGCCTCAAAAAGAGGCTTGCTGTCTTCAACTCATAACTATTTGCACTAAAAATATGCTAATAAAACTTTCAGTTTAATTAATGGGAAAATGTTACTGAACATATTTTTTAAAAATAGATTTTGACAGATTGATTTTATTTTGGCATCATACTTGAAAATGCAAAGCTTCTGTAAATAAAGAGGAGATATCTCCCTATGTTTCTCTTTCCTTTCAAAACACGTTTCCTTTTGTAATTCAGTCATTTTGACAATGGAGAGAATTGTGTAAAAAATACATCTGTCCTCTTTATCAATTATAGCAATGGGATGGTCTTTTTGAATGTTAATAGCAGTTACAACACCAGTAAGCTTTCTGCAGCATTAGGCTCATCAGTTTCAAAGGATTGGATCCACTGGACCAACAGTGTCCTCTAAGTTAGAAACTAGCACTCCGGAGTAGCTGGGACAAAAGAAACTGCTCGCAGTCTCCATCCATAAATGAATTGTCCAGAAGGAACAGTTGCTGGTTAAAGCAGTAGCATATTCACATTGAAACATAAAATATTATATGATATGCAGTAAATGTAACTAAAATTCATAAATCAATGAGTATCAAAAACCTTGCAATACCTGCCTCCCTTCATAATCCCAAGTTAATTGGCAGTTCAGACACCCGCTTCCTGGTGGTGCTACTGGTGGTTTTCTAGTGATGCTGTTTTGTTATTCTTTTCCATTATAAAATAGGTACCTAAAGCCTTGTTTATTTTTATTGTACCACCTGTTGGATGGAATGTTTTTGCTTAGTCAGTTAGTGACCAGTGCTCCTTTTGTTGCTTTCTGTTTCTCTCTTTAGGAAAGACACAGATGAGGCTGATCTGGTTCTAGCAAAAGAAGCCAATGTGAAGTGCCCTCAAATTGTGATAGCATTTTATGAAGAGAGACTGACCTGGCATGCATACCCAGAAGATGCTGAAAACAAAGAACGGGAAGCAGTGAAAAGCTAAAGTGGCTGGGGGTTCTCTGTCCATCCATAATTGTACATATCCGCCCTCCCTTTCCCTCTGCCCAAATGCATCCATGGAAATGTGCTTATTACTGTGCTCGACAGGAGAAATGTTGATATTGGTTGGTTTAGTCATAACATAAATGGTGTGAGTCACGTTTGGATTCCCTCCAGGAGATTGACATGCAGTGTGGTGTTCTATCACCTCATCATTACCGTAATAACAATAATGGTTCTTGTTTTTAAAGCTCCCTCAGAGCCTCCAGGCCTTAACTTCCTGCCTGGCTGTTTATTTCTGCATCATCATGTTCTATGTAGAGAATTGTTAAGCATCGTTGTTTCTGATTGAAAAATGGCAAGAGCTCCCTGAATTCAGGACAGACTCAACTGATCTAGCACAAGCTTTGGAGTCTTAGACCACCCAAATAACAAGCAAGCTAGATATTGGGGAAGGGAGGGAGAGGGCTTTTTCTAGTTTCTTTCAAAATTGCTAATGTGTTGCTTGAATTGCATTCAAAGATGCTAGATAGCCATTTTCACCCATATTTTCTAATTTCAGGTCAGACCAGGTACCTTTTGGAGAACAAATAGAAATTAGTTGGCAAGGATAGCATCCCTCTTTTGAACCTGTCCTTTCTCGTCTTATTCCTTTCATTCCTTATCTCCCGTATTACTGGTGCTATTTGCATGACATGTTTAGTTAGATTATAAGGGTATCTAATTAATCATGTACACTCCAAAAAATTGAGTTAATTGACCTATAACCTATCCTGGCAATGTCTTCCCCCCCTCCCTCCCTTGTGCAGACTACTTACTAGAGAATTAACAGCCTCTTTTTAACAACTGTGATCAAAATGTGCTCCTAGAGAAGCCCTATAAAAATACTCTTCCTGTGGGCATTCCATTTCTATAGTCCTTTTGATTTTTCATTCACTGCACTCCAGGTGTCTATCTGAAACGTGAGCGTACTGTTGGGATGTGTAATTCCATGAATCTGCACTGACACCAACTTTAATTGCATTGTAGCAACTCTATTTTAAATGTACTTCCTCGGGGAGTGGAGGGTACAGCACGAAGTAAGAAAGTGATGCTTCCAGTGAGGACTAAATATAGTGTCACTGAATGACCGTCTCTGTCATTCGGGGTCATGTGCCCTGAGTGCGCCTTTGTAAATCAATTGGCTTAAAGAGAACTGGGTCATTCATGTTGCACAAATGGGGCCTTTGTGTTATGTAGGTGAGTAGATCAGCCAAACATAGTGTCATACTTGGAATCTTTTTTCTGGGCTCTCAGTTATTTCTTTAGAGACTTCCCCACCATATCTGTGCTCTTTCATCCTGGTATGTCAATCTGTTATTTTCAGAATAAGTATGTACTTCCAAGTATACTTTTCAGAGAAAACTACCAACTGGGCATAGTAATCTGTGGCTGCATGACTAGAACAGCTTGGAAAATTCAAAAATCCTAGACTGGCATTTTTATTCTGAACAATTGACAGTTAAAATACATAGTGAAATAGATCTCACAGATAAAAATACATTAGCAATTTAGCCAAAAATACCATGTTACAGAATAAGGACATTATGGACTACAAATCCAATTATCCTTCATCACTGGTTATGCTGGATGGGAATTGCAGCTCCAGAACAGCTGGAGGGTCACACATTAACATTGTTGACCATTAACAAATGCTATTTCATCAGTGGCTTTCCATCCTGTTCTTCAGCTTCAGGACAGGGCAACAAAAAGCAAAGATTCTTGGCAGAGCCCTTTCTCCTGACCAAGTCCATGCATATTTTATTTCGTATGTAATGCCTGAATTGTGTAGCATGGTAGGGATTTCATTGTTACGTTCCACCACTGCAGACTCACTTGACTGCATCAGCTTTTAAAAGTGCCAGTTTCCTACTACAGTATCTGAATTTCTGGATACCTCACAATAGAAGCATCCTCCATACTAGTAAGATTTGATAGGAGCTTGGATCATTACTGAAATGGTGCAGGCTACTTTAAAATGGACACTGGTCCTTAACATTAATTCAGAATCTGAATTCATGCTCTTTGGTCTCTGCTGCCTTAGCAGTACTCATACTGTTCTATTATTTTTTATATATATAATGAGGAGAGATGTTCCTAATCATGCTTGGTCAGAAAATCCCACCACTACTTACTTCATTTCTGCATTGTTGAATTTCTTTCCTTTTGTTTAGCAAGCAGATGAAGTAGGTTGCCATCCTTCCATTTATGTATTCTGTACCTTGCTAATCTGTCAGGAATTGCAACTGGGCATGGTGTGATGTAGCATGACGTGAATTACATCTGTGACACAACTAATGATTCATATGATTAAGCCCCATATCTTGCTAAATGCCCAGCATCAGAAAATTGGTGGCATTTTTGTTTTGACGGATTTCCTTGTGTTCAATTGATAGGTGTACTTCTGTCAACCACATCAAGAGAAAACATTTATGAAACATGTATTCTAATTTGTTTGGATCATGACATCATTCCATGTATGTAGTTTAAGAATCTATTTTGCAACCAGTCCATCTTTCAGTGGTTTTGAGGCAGGTTTGCCTTTAAAATATGCAGCCTCCATAGCTTTGTTCAGCATATTCTGTTGGAACTGAATAGATTTTTACTGTTTGATTCCTGAATGGGGATGGGTAACCCCTTTAAGAATTTACTTTGAAGGGGATTTTGTTGAAAGAAATGCCCTGCTGCTAAATTAATAGAAATATGTTTCTTTTCTAGAATCCTTATTTGGTCAGTCATTTTCAACAATATTAAACGAGATATGTGAAAGTTCAGACTGTAGATTGGACATTAGCTTTGTATTTCTGATTCCACTTGAAAGCTGTCATGTATAGACAGAAGCATAGCTGCCTGCATTTGGCTCATGGCCAGCTATTGCTCTTGAATCCCACTGAACTTAATTTTTGACTATTAGTTCTTCAGTGAGGGGATGTTTTCATTCATTCCTGTGCTGGAAGAGGACAGCAGTTGCAAAACAGGATTTGGGAAGCTATATGGATTTCAGTTTGTTTGCATGTGATTTGTACCACTTACACACTGAATAAATGCTTACTTGAGGGTTGTTTTTTTAAGTCAAGAAGAGCCTCAGGTTCTGATTTTTGCATGGGAACTCTCAAACGAGAAGAATATCTCCTTCATCCATTATGCTTCACAGAACACTATTTATCCTGCCCCCACTCCCCTTGGAATTCTCTAATTTCTATCTGATAGCTGGAGAGATCAAATGATTATGTATTGTATGGCTACTATCAAGGATAAAAGACAATTTACTAACAGGCATCTCCCTGAAGCAACACAAAAGGCCCCTGGGTGTTCCAGATCTTCTTGAAAGGAAGACTATTCTGATTTCTAACTCCTTCAAGAATAGAACAGAGAAAAACAAATACAGTATCCAAGTTTGTGCAGCTTTCTACCTCACTACCTAAAAATTGCTAATTCCAGCAGAAAGCAGTTCTGGAGGTTTTCCTTATTGCACAAACATGTACTTGTGTGACACATTCATTGAATAGAACCCACCCCCTAACAAGGACAAGGCCATGACAAAAAAATAAATTAATTAATGACCAAAAATAATGGCCTATAAAACAAAGTACCCATTTGTAAAATTAAATGATTTCTGTGTAATACAAGTCCACCCTGCAAACAAAAGCATGCATGCATTCATAAGAGACCATTTTCTTCCAGCAAACCACAAAAACAGCGGCAATGGAATAAAGGGGAATTACACTGAAAAGAAGAACAATGGTAAACCAAAGTGGATGGAGATGGAAGAATGAGGAAATAGATGAGTATCTGGAAGGAGTTGAGAGGAGAGGAACACCACCATCTCCTCTGTGTTAGAATGAGGACTGCTGAAAAATACATGTGAAGTTCAGGGATAAAGGTGGCATTTTTAGAACCCTATCCCTAAGAAATATGTTGGCAATTTAAGCTCCCTTCTACACGTCTCTTCTGTGAGAATTAAAAAAAAAACTGCTACCAATACCTTATTTTCCCTTGATATCCAGTTTGTTAGGCCTATTAGCGCAGATGGGAAGCTGACTCCTTGAGCTTATGGGGGTGGGGGTGGGGAATGGTGTCCTCAGCGATCTGGTAGGAGGGGGCTTAGTAGGCCAGGAAAAAAAATGCCAAACATCTGAAGAGTCAATGCTGAGGGCAAGAGTGACATACAGATAGTCTACTTATGACATGCAACAGACTGACCCAGGGTACTTGCAGCCAAAGTTACAATGGCCACTTTCCCCTTGCTGTCATGTGGCTGCATTTCAGACACTTGGCAACTGGCCTGTATTCATGCTTGCAGTCCTGCAGTTACATGACTGTTTACTTTGGATTTAGTTCTCTTAAAGACCACTGCATAAAAAAAATGTAAAATTGGATTAGTCAGGTGAGTGGCCTCATTTACAACCATCATGGTTTAACTGTAATGGGTGGACTCCATTAAGTTGAAGACTTTGCCTCAGAGCCCTTGCCTCCCTTTTAAAGGCTATATGCCTTTAATAATGGTTTCTTTCTCTTCCCCTCAAGCACTGGCCAATGCTCACTCATGATTTACAGCATCCTGTAACAAATTTCAGCTATCACTGAGGTGCCATAATTTGTCCTCATTATTACATTGGTATGATGATGCTCTAAATCGCTCCTGGGGATTCCACCCATGCCTCAGTATTTTTATCTCTGCATTGTCTGTGGTGAAAGTGGGCAAACCTGTGTAGAAGGAATATTGAATCTGGAGCAAGTGCTGTGGATGATTGACAGCCTGCCATTCCTTTCTGTGCTGCAATCTTGTCAAATCAAGTCTAAGATAGAGAAAGTCTCTGCTGTTACTAATTAGGGTATTGGCTTTCCAGCCCATGTCTTTCAGCTATTTTGGCTGGCATTGCTTCTTACCAGCTAAGTTCACTGGGTGAGCCAAAATCAAGTTGAATTGCAGACTAAATGGGAGACATTTCACAAAATGTTGAGGGATCGACTCTGGTAACCTTTAGGTTTTAAGGTCCTGCTACCTCACTGATTTCGCCCTTATTTTTATTCTCAAATGTATTGGAGAGGAAGCTGAAGATACCTTGAAGTGCACCTTTCCTACTCCTGTAGGTACCAGCCTAAAAGCTACCTTCTTCACTAGTGGCTGCTAATAGAAATTCTTACAGAGTGTTAATAAGACTTCTGTGATTACAAGTATTTGTGTGTCAGGCTAAAAAGAAAAGGGCATTTTAGAAAGTTGGTAGCAGCAATGCCGTTAGTAAAAAAAAAAAAGAAATGGCAGTTCTCTGTAGCATTTGCTTCCTGGTATTTGCTAGGATTTTGAGATGGACTAGTGTACGTGTGTTTTAAATGCTTACTCTTATACAGCCTGTTGAATGCATGCATGTAACTGATTAGTTGCCATGTGGGGAGAATCATTAGAATAAAATATACAATCTTTGCCTTCCTCCACTCCCAAATACACAATTTAAAAATTTATTTTGGATGCACCATTAATATAAAGTAGCACACACAGGACCCTTTCACCGTTTGGCAAATTTGATGAATATCTGAAGGTTCTTAGAGTTCTTTGTCAAACTTAAATGAAGCAAAAATAGGGCAACTTGACACTTGAAGAATTGCTACTGCAGATGAAATGCTAAAATACTCTACTGGCAGAAATGTAAGTAAAGTGACAGCTTTTAGTAAGTTCCACAATGTGACCTCTGTGTAATATGATGTAACCTTGTTCAAAGGCTCTTTTAAAAGCGAGAGCTCTTTAAACCATCAACAAAGAATGTCCAGATTTAAAAAAAAAGGGGGGGGGGACATTTCATCCTTTACCTGAAGATCCTGTTAAGTTTGTCTTTCTTAGTGTAGTAGAACTAGCCAGCTGATTCTAAATTTACAGGATTTCTAAACCATGCTGCGTTTAGGTGGCTCCTAAACTGATCCCACCTCCTCACATTTTGGCTCCTGGTCTAAATGTTTCAACAGCAAAAAATGCTTTTTGATGTCAGCTTTTTCGCGTTTTGTATTTGGAAGTTGTGGGAACGGGGTATATGCGTATGATACATTGGGAAGTTTGAATCTTGGCTTTCTGTGTATCTGTTTAAATTGCACATTTTAAACCGATTACTCTGAATTTATCAGAATTTAAGTTTATGATAAGACTTCAATTATGTAGGCACAGTTTTCTGATGCAACACTTAAGTGGCTATCAAACATGAATTGTTATCCTCGGTCACCTAAGCGTGGATTAAAATACAAAGAGAATTAATTT